ATATATAATATAAGTAAAAGAAAATGATTTTCCGGAAAATTTTCTTGAAACATTGAAAAATTACGTTAAATTACAAAACAAAAAAACAAAAAAAAAAACAAAGTTGAATTTTTTCTCTTCATCTTTTCTATACTCTTATATTATTTTCTTAGAAATTTAAACTTCACATGCACACATACATACCTACGTATGTACACATTTAAAAAAGAATATTGAATTTAAAAATTTATCTTTAAAAACTTTTTTTATACCCTGCACTTCGTGAAGGGTATATTAACTTTGGTATGGAGTTTGTAACTACTTGAAGGAGCCATCTGCGGTATGGACATATATATATATTCTTGCTCAGCGTAAAATTCTGCGTCGATTTAGACATGTCCGTCCGTCCGTCCGTCCGTCCGTCCGTCCGTCCGATCGCACGATAACTCAAAAACGAATAATGCAATCAACACCAAACTTTCACAAGTTTTTTCTTTTGTGCCAAGGACGAACCCTATTGTTATTGGACTAATTCGGACAACGGGTTCGGGTAGCTGCCATACAACTCAAAGAGTTTATTTTAATTATTTCAAAAACTAATAAAGGTACAAATGTAAAATTTTGTATACATATGTCCAATTATATTCTACATATGCTCTAAAAATTCTAATGAGATAGCTGCACCGGTTCGGGTGGCTGCCATACAACTCCAAAAGCAAATTTTTTATAATCGGCAAAATAATAAAGTCAGATTCATGAAACTTGGCAGTCGTGTGTCCAATTATAGGTCAAAGATATTTCTGAAGTTTTTGTGGAATTGCTTGACAGGTTCGAGTAGCTCCCATACAAGTCCAAAAGCTTACTTTAAATATTTGGAAAAATAACGAAGTTAGATTCATGAAACTTGGCAGTTGTGTGTCCAATGATAGATCAGATATACCTGTGAAGTTTTAGTGGAATTGCTTGACAGGTTCGGGTACCTGCCATACAACTCCAAAAGCTAAGTTTAAATATTTGGAAAAATAATAAAGTCAAATTCATGAAACTTGGCAGTTGTGTGTCCAATTATAGATCAGATATATTTGCGAAGTTTTAGTGGAATTGCTTGGCAGGTTCGGGTACCTGCCATACAACTCCAAAAGCTAATTTTAAATATTTGGAAAAATAATAAAGCTAGATTCATAAAACTTGGCAGTTGTGTGTGCAATTATAGGTCAAAGATATTTCTGAAGTTTTGGTGAAATTGCTTGACAGGTTCGAGTGGCTCCCATACAAGTCCAAAAGCTTATTTTAAATATTTGGAAAAGTAATAAAGTTAGATTCATGAAACTTGGCAGTTGTGTGTCCAATTATAGATCAGATATATTAGCGAAGTTTTAGTGGAATTGCTTGGCAGGTTTGGGTACCTGCCATACAACTCCAAAAGCTAATTTTAAATATTTGGAAAAAAAATAAAGTCAGATTCATGAAACTTGGTAGTTGTGTGTTCAGTTATAGGTCAGACATATCCGTGAAGTTTCTATAGAATGGTTTCACAGGTTTGAGTAATTGCTATACAACAATGAAAGGTGCAGGGTATAATTCAATCGGTTCATACCGACTGAAACGTTTTTACTTGTTTTTCTTTTGAGTTTTTCTTTTATTTTTTTTTTTTAAATTGCCATCTTAAATTTAAAATAAGTTAAGAGGGAAAAAGTAAAATTAAACTTTCTTTGAAAAATTCTTTTAAAATAACTTTTTAATGAAAATAAAAAAAAAAAAAGAAAAAAATTAAGAAAATATGAAAAAGGAAGAACTTTTTGTTAAGGATTTTCTTTCTATTTTTAAAGTGATGCGAACTTCAATGTTAAGGTCAAATAAATATTTTCTTATTAAACATTATTATATGTACCTATACATGTTATATGTTTGTAAAATGATATTTATACTTTCATAATAACATTATTGTATAATATATGCAGGAATGATTGAATGATTGAATATTTTACTTAGGAAACATATTATAAACACAATATGTCGTACACTTTTAGGATTTTCTTAAAAAAATATCAATATAAAAAGAGAGGAATTTTAAAGAGGAATTTTGTTTGGGAAAGCCTACATGTCATATAGGATACCCTATATATTTACTAAATTTAAATTTAATATTATAATTTTTTGGAATTAAATTTATAAATTACGCTATTGAATATTTTCGAAAATGAATTCAATATTGGTTAACTATGCAAATTTTTTCAGATATTCTGAGTATTTTAATAAGATTCCAGTGTTCAATTATTAAATTATTAATTAAATAAATTTTTATAATATTGAAAATCATTTTGTTTATTTCAGAAAATTTCATCTTCCTATTGTCCTCCTTAAGCCTACATAATTTGTTAATTTCTTCGGATATGAATTTAAAAAGAAAAGCTCTAATTAATTAGTATTTTTTTTTTTATGAGGGTCAACCGAACCTTGAATACAAAATTGTTCATTAAATTTGCATTATTTAGTCCTTTATTTTTATTTGATTTTCTTTTTCATTACGATTGAAATTTAATTTCAAAATTTCTTAGAAAATTTTTGGCCCATTTTGGAATGTTTCAGAAAATTTTTGAAAAAATTTGTTTATTAAATTTCATATATACTTGCTGTTTGTCAAAAATTGTTCCCTATTTCCGATCGAAAGGTTTGAATTTTGAAAGCAATATTGGAAGATAGGGAAAAAATGGTTTCCCTAAAGAAAATTTTTACGCTTCCCGTTAAAGTAATGTGTTGAAATAATTTTGAAATAGTGTTTACTACATTCTAAATTACAGACAATATTTGGATTCATTAGTACTCATAGGTTGCAATTTAAATTTTCAATTTTAGAAAATCATGTTGAAAGCGAGAAAATCGACATTAATATTTGTTTTCTTACCAAATGGTGTACGTTTCTGATATATGGTGTAACTAATGTACTTTTAGGAAGACAGATTCAGTTATATAAGAATATAGAAATATAAAATATTATAATTGGTAAACATTGCGACTAGCTTGTGGTAAGTTTTGATAAAATTTCAAATTTGAGAATTTGGTTTTTCATCATTTATCTTTCAGAATTCAAGATTGAAGGTATTTTGTTTTAATTAAAACGCAAAAAAATGTTGTCATAGAAGGACAACAGATAAAAAGGAAAAACAAAATTTATGAGGTCAAAGCAAGCGCATTTTTCATATACTTTTGTACTTTTAATATTTTCCAGTTTTTTGAACAAATGTAAAAATAAAATCCAAATTCTTTATAAAAAAAAAAATAAAGTGAAAAGAAAACAGTAAAAATAAAAATATTTTTTTCTTCTTAAAAACCTTGGTATTTTTTCTTTTTAAATTAAGCGAAAACCTAACCGAGAAGAAGTAAAAGAAAATACTTTTGCTCTCTTATAAAAATAATTGGAAACTTTTTCTTCTTTTTTTTTTTTAATTTTATTGTTCATGTATACTGAAATTGCTTTTCTTTTCAAATATAATGTGTGGAACACATTAAATTAAAGGATTTTAGCTTTAAAAAATAATTTTCAGTTTTTTTAACAAAAAAAAAAAAAAAGATATTTTATAGAAATTCATGAACACGAGGTTAAATGAATACCATATATAAAATGACAAGAAGAACAATATGATAGTAATAGGGGATACATACGACAATAACATTTTGTGTATATGTATATGTGCACATGTTATCAAGAGCACATAAGAGTGTACATATACATACATATATAAAATATAATGATATACTCATACAGGTAGGTAAATATTTTGTTTAAAATGATGAGCCATTCTCAATTGCCTTCTTTATTTGCCTTTAACTAAAATATAATTAGAAAAATACAAAAACAAAAAAAAAAAATAGGTCTTAAAATTTTTTTATGTTTTTTATGTTGTGCATTTTAGATATGAATAATAAATATGATTTCAGTGTTCATGTAACATGAATTTTAATTTTGTCCAAAAGAAGCTTTAAAATAATAAAGGTAAGGTGCAATTTTTTGTAATTATTTTAATTTGTATTTGTGTTTTTGACTAGTAGATTAAAAATTAGTGAGTATATATAAATCTGGTATAAGTGTTAAGATGATGACAGAGAAAACCTTTAAGGGACTTGAAACACTTTAAGCATAACTATTGTTGGGGAACAGAAATGATGACGATCTTCTTTTAAAATCTCTTAAGAGATGTTGATGAATTTCTTTTGTAATAAAAAATTGTCACCGGATCATATTATCCTAAAACAGATGCTGTTTCATATCTCAAATAATGCAGAAAAGAAATTAGGAAAAATATCATTATGGCTTCTTTTCGGCAACAGCCCATAATTAAAAATATTTTGTTGCTAAAAATACTTCAATTTATTTTTCATGCAATTTTTATTTAATTTCAATGATAAAATTAAATATTCTCCCAAATTTTTCGTAATATTAGCAGGATATTCGTTTTAAATCTTTATTTTTTTCTTAGAAAGAAAAAGCTACTAAATTTCGATTAAATTTCAATATTTAATTCCTGAAAATTCTTTTGTTATACAAATTTGTCATACGGCACATTTTCTATATTATAAACTTTTATATACAATATACTTATATAAAATATATTTGTACTTATGTAAAATGTTTATCATGAAAAGTTTTTAACCTTTTCATCTCAACACTTCAAAATATATAAATACATACATAATATATATATATTTATACCTAAAAAGAAAAAAGACAGAATAAAAAGAAAAAACACTTGAAAATTCTAAAAATACTTTTGATGAGTGTATCTACATATAAAGTTTTTCCATCTTAAGGATATATAGAGAATGATTAAACATAAAAGTAAAATAAAAAAGAAAAAATAACAAAAGAAATTCTTTAAAAACTATCTTGTATATTTTAAATACTTGCACAATATTTTAAAAGTATTTGCTAGCAGTAAACAATGCAACAAAAGAGAGAATAAAAAAGTTTTTGAAAAGAAAGTTTTCTATATAAATATATATATATATAAAAATAAAATTACCTTGAACTTCTTTCTGTATCATTTTCGGCCAATTTTAATAAATATGCAACAAATTCAACATCATTTTTAAAGCATAAACGAGTTCTTGTTAATTCCCATGATTCAGCATTTTTTGTACCAATATATATATTTTTACTATAATTTTGATGACGATATTTTTTATTACTATTACTGCTACTATTATTATTATTATTATTATTATTACTATTACCATTATTATTATTACTATTGTTATTATTGTTATTATTATTATTATTGTTATTATTATTTGATGATGAATTATTATTATTTAAATTACTATTACTATTATTACTGATACCACCACCAATAATACTTCCTGTTTCAGATCTATTACTACTATTACCACAATTTATTAAATTACGTTCACTATTTATATTAATATTATTACTATTATTATTAACATTATTATTACTATTATTTTTATTATTATTATTTATATTATTATTACTATTATTATTAGTATTAGGATTACCACCATTACTTAAACCGATACTACTTAATATACCACTAGTTCCAATAATACCACTATCATCAATGTCATTGACACCGCCATCATCACCATCACCATCGGCATCACCATCACCATCACCATCACCATCACCATCTCCATCATCATCATCTATATCATCATTTTGAATATTATTATCATCATTATCATTATTATTATCATCTCTTAAACTGGCTACACTATTACGACCACTATTATTACAATCATTCTCATCATCGATATTATTATCATTATCTAAATTATTTAATGATGACGTTATATTATTATCATTATTATTATTGATACAAATATTACTATTATTATTGTTATTATTATTTGAATTATTTTTATTATTATTTGAATGTAAACTTTTATTAACACTTGCTATTGCAGCTGCTACTGCAGCTGCTGTTGATTTTATTGATAATGATGTTTTATTACTTTTATTATTTAGATTTAAATTTCGATTACGCGAAGATGATAATGATGAAGATGTTGATGATGATGATGATGTAGATGATGACGAAGATGAATTACCACCGCCACCACATTCAATATCATTTTTATTAATTAATAAATTTGTATTATTATTATTAACAATATTATCATGATTGTTATTATTACCACTTTTATTACTGTTTGTGTTATTATGATTATTATTTAAAATTAATGGATCTTCATCAATATCATTATTATTATGATTATTATTAACATTAATATTATCATTATTATTTGTATTATTATCATTTAATTGATTCGTTCTTAAATTCATATCATCATCATCATTATCATTATTTCCATTATAATTATTATTATTATTATCGTCATTATAATTATTACTATTATTTATATTACTGTTATTATTATTATTATTATTACTATTATTATTGTTATTATTATTACCAGATCTATTCAATATTAATCTATTATTATCATTTTCATCTAATTCTTCTTCTTCTTCATCGACATCTTCATCGCCTTCATCATCGTCATCATCATCTGAATTTGATGATCTTGATTGTGGCGATGATGCTATTAATGCAGCATTTAAATTCAAACCGATAGTTTTTGGTGGTGGCAATGTTGGTGGTAATTGCTGACGTGATATACTTAATTCACCATTTCCACCACGATTACGATTACCACCGCCACCACCATTATTTCTTCTGCTACTTCGTCGATTACTTTGTATTTTTCTATTTAAGAAACTGGCTCTTAATGTATCATTACTTTCATCATCTGAATTACTATTAAAATCAAATTCATTTAAATTTGGTGGCGATTTTGACATGGCAATAAAATATACTGAATTTTTTTTTTCTTACAATATTTTCAATTAAAATATAAAAGGAAAAAACTATTTGATCTTGGTTTTTTTTTCAGATTTTATTATAGCAAATTAGTGCTTTATTTCTTCATTTTAATGAATTGTAGTTGAAATAAATTTATAAAATGGTGAATTCATATTTTATGAAATTTTCAACTTTCACTATTTTTTTTTTTTTGTGATATTCATATATACATACATTATTCATTATATTTTAATATCTTTGTAACTTTTAAGATTATGAATACATTTTTGTATTTTTTAGTAAATATTTGTTTTATACAAAATGAATTTTATTTTATTTTATATATATATATATATATATATATATATATTTTACATTCCAGACTTTTCGAAAATTTATATTTTTTTACGAATAGCTTATAATAAAAAAATTTCCTCAGAATATTTTGTAAAAAAAAAACAAAAAAAAAAATTCTTTTATTTGTATTTACGTTTTTGTTTTTTTCTTGTATTCTGTAGGTATTTTGATTAAATTTTTATAATTTTATGTACATTCATTTGTATATAAATGTGTGTATATAAATGATAAATAAAATATGAATGTATGTAAATACATATTATATATATGTATGTATGTATATTGTTTTGTATTTTCTCATATATTTTATATTATATTTTATTATTCCTGGTTTTTATATGTTTTTGTATTTTATATATTTGGAGCCATTCAAAAAACTAAAAACAGCTATAAAATATAGCTTTCACTTTTCTCTACACATTATTCATAAATTATATTATTATTATTATTATTATTATTATTTCTTTTCTCTTCTCTTATTATATTCATGCATAAATATGCACATATATATACATATACGTATGTATGTTTGTATATATATATTATGTATCCTTTTTTGCAAACATTATTATTTCAATTTTTTTCACACTTTTTATCTTCTCTTTTTTTTCTCTTTTTTTTTTTGGAAATCTTTAAATAATTTTTACATTTTTGGAAAAAATAATTTTAATTTATAATTTTTTTTCTTAATTATAATTAAAATTTTCTCAACTATTTAATTTTACTTTTATTATATTTTCTCTTAAATTTTCTTTATTAATCCACAATTTAGTATTGTAGGTATACGTATAAAATTTTATAAGAAAAATACGATTTCCTTCACAACATTCAAAAAATAATTGCAAAATTAATTAATTAAAGAATATTGAAATACAAATTCACAATACACAAATATTTTTATATTTTTTTAATATTATTACAAAATTTTATTTTAATTAAATTTATTTCACTTTTTTATTTCAACATTTTCATATATTCAAATAAAAAAATTTTCCAATATAATTTCATTCGCATAATATAATATAAATGTATAAAAAGAAAATTATTATATACAAGAAAAAAGAATAAAAAACAAGAAAATAAAAACAAAAAGTTTTTCAGGAAAATTTCACGTCATCCATATTAAAGAGAGAGAAAAAAATCATAAAAACAACGACAAGAAAAAACAAAAATACTTTTTATTTTTTTTTTTTCTTTTAAGAAGAATGAAAATATAAAATCATCATCAACCAAGCCGGATGTTGCATCCGGCTCTCCACTGCACACTCTTTCATTCTTTCTTCTCTCTCTCTCTCTTTCTCTTTCTCTATTGCTCTCTGTGTATATATTTTTCTTCTACTGCTATTATTATTATTATTATTTTATTTTATTATTATGTGTATATTTGTATATTATGTATAACTGTATAATATTATTTTTCTCTTCTTCACTTTAAAAACTTTGTTTTTTTTTCTTCTTTTTGTTTCACTGTATTTTCTCTTATATTTTTATTATTATGTTGATATTTTTATTTTTTGTTATTATTTTGCTTTTAATTTTGTAGTCTCGTCCCGTTCTATTCCTTGAAATAGTGTTAGAACATATTTGTTTTTTTCTTTTTTAATTAAATTTGTTAAATCATAGATATTTTAACAATAAAATTTATATGTACACATACATACATGTGTATATAATATAAATAAATATATACATTTATTTTAGAAAATTTATATTGTATTTTGTTTGTAAACAAAAAAATTAGTAAATAAATTTTTAATAGGCATTGCATTATTTATTAAAATAAATTATTTAATAAGAAGAGAAAAAATAGTTATTTTTTCTCTCTTTTTTGGGAAATTAAGAATTAATAATAAAGAATGGGAATATATAAAGTATAACTTTTATAATTCAATTACAAATATTTTTAAAATTTTCTTGCAATTTCGTAATCTTTTATACATGTAAATTAAATATAAGTAGCGGAATTACAAGTGAATTAATTTAATCTTTTTATATTGTTGGGTTTAGGAAAGAAATTGCAAGGCTTAAGTTATAAAAATGTGAGAACCTTGCATAAAATTAAGTAATTATTTCTAAAATCTAAGAGTGACTGAAAAAAACATTCATTAACATAATGCATAAAATATAACATAAATTGGTATTAAAATTTCGAGCTTAAAATAATGAAAGACTTAGTTTTTCAATAGATGCTATTAACTTGAAATATTTTAAGAAATATTGGATAGGTAGATAGTATAACATCTGCGACATATCCCATATATCTAACCTATATCCAAAAAATTTTCAGAATTGAAAGTATTAAATCTAAGAAAACTATCATTTTTGATCAGTTTGCATAATTGTAAACTTATATAACACTTTTTAAGAAATTATTATAGGCATACAAAATCGTTATCAAGTTTTTAATACCAAAAATGAGAATTATGTGAAATCATCCAAGAAATTTTTCATATATAAACAAAATATTAAAAATCAATGCCAATATTTAGAGAAATGGAAAAAATACAAAGAAAGCATCTTATTAGGAAAATTTTATTTTTAAAATTCTAATTAATTTAGAATTATTTTATTTTATTTGAATTAAATAATTTCCGTCACAAAAAATATTTTGTGTTATTTTAATATTGAATTCCGATATAATATTTTTTTAACAGAACGTGCAGAATTCGCATTCGTCCTTTTTCCTAATTTTTTAATATAATCCACATTCAATGTGCGTATGTAACAAAACAAAACATATTTATAGTGAAAAATAGTTTTATTTTATTTAATTAATAGCGTTCCATCACTGTTTTTTATTCCGTTCGATGTACTTTTTATGCACACACACGTACAATCACGTTTATATAATTTTATGTAGTAAAAGGAAAAAATAAAAAGTTGGAATTTTTTTTATTGTTATTTTTCTTTATTTTTCTTCCTTTTTTTTTTTGGTTCGTTTTTCGCAGGCTTGGTCTGTGTTTTCGAATCGGACACACAGAGCAGAACCGAAATAGAATAATTTTATATTTTTCTTATAATTTGTATTATAAGTTTTTGTTTTTGTTGAACGAAAAATTTTCTTTTTAAATTCACTTTATGTACACAGCGACAAAATAAATTGAAAAAAGAAAAACAAAAAAAATTAATTATTTTTTAATTAAAATATTTTTTTAAATATTTTTTTTTTATTATTGTTTTCATATTTTTTTTTGTTTTGCTTCTGTGTACATTCGAAAACTTCCGAAATTCACACTATTTTTTTTTTTGTGTAATGATGAAAAAGAAAAATCAATTTACCGTTATCTTTTATAAATACGTACAAAATAATTAAAATATATATATACTATAGTTTTATATCCTTGTACATCCTGATTATATTTTTACTTTTTTTTTTGTGGTTTTCATATATTTAAAAGTTGAAAACGAAAAAAGAAGAAATTATTTGAAATAAGAAAAGGGAAAATTTATTTTACAATTTAAATTAAATTTTTCTCAGTGTTTTTCTTTTTATAAATTAAATTTTATTTTATTTTTTATGGTGCTTCGAAATTTCTTTGGCACCACCTTAAAAATAAATACAAATATTTTATATAAAAATTCTTTTCACATTTACTTTTTTTTTCGCAAATTACTTCACTTATTCTCTTTTATTTTACTCTTGTTTAATTTTAATTAACAATTTTTTTCTGTGTATATTTTTTTTTTTGCAAATTTTTTAAATTAATTTTATAAATTTTTTTTTTGTAGAAGTTTTTAAGATAAAAAAATAATAAAGCTGCGTTTTAATGCTGGTTATTCTTCTTTTTCTAATACACATAGAACATACACGCCGAGCACACACTTAGTACACAAAAAAAAAAATTACTCAGAGTCTTCTCTTGTCATTCAAAAAATGTTGGGGATTTAAAAAGAAACACAAATACACAGCGAAAAAAATAAATTCTTTTTTCTCATTTTCCTTCTGATTATTTTCCTTTTCTGCTTTTTTTGTTTTTGGTATTTATGTTGGGTAAAAAGTTGCTGTCAGAACGAAAGTTTATGCCTCTTTAGTCCTGTCTGTATATATTTTTTGAATTTTATTATCCTTTTTTTTTTTTTTTATTGGAATTTTTTATTTTTTTTCCCTATATTATTGTTTTGCTTTATTTTTTTATTGTGTATTTGTTTGGAATTTTTTGTTTTTCTGTGTTGGTCATAAATTTATTTGATTACGTTGAAAAATTTTTGCAATTGTCGTAGATTTTATATTGTTTTATTATGATAAGAAAAACCAAAAAAAAAAAAAAATATATTGAAAGAGTAAAAGCATATTACATACAATAATAATAAAGGATAAATAATAGAAAAAATGTGTTAGTATTTTAATTTATGTTTGTGTATATAATAAAGTTTAATGTGTATGCGTATAATATACATATATGTATAAGGGTAAAGGATAATAATAATATATGGTTTGTTTTCTTTTTGAATAGTACTTTATTTTTCACATTTTTTGTTTGTTTTGGTACTTCATGTTAGGATTTTTGTTTCATCCTTTGTATGTATTAGTGGAATGTTATTATGAAATAGAATGGAAAATGAAACATGAAAAAAAAATAAAAATATTTCTACAAAAAAATTTTTATTTCATATTATTGGTGTAAAAATATTTATTGTTGAAATTTTTGTAATGTAGTTTGTCAACAATATTCTAAAATAATATTTTGTATGAACTTCCTAAAAAATTGGTAAAAATTATGTTTATAAGTGACA